CTTCCAAATGTTTTGTCATGATATTGTTGAAAATCCTTCCAGGCAATCTAATAGCATGTGCAGTGCTAACATAGTGGGATACAAACCAATACTGTAGACTTTATTTACCTTAAAATAAGAAAATTTCATTTTCCGACAATTAAGCAAGTTAAAACGGTCATATTTTAGCTGACTTCTGGTATTGTTTTCGTTCTCTTAAAGATATACGAGAGAGGGGAAGTTTCCATTTTCCCATAAGAGGAAAATTTTGGAAGCCTTTAACACTTCATTAAGAGATCAGCTGTCTCTGACCTCTTCTAATATTCTGCCAAAATACACTTAGAGCAACCTCCTCCTTTTCTCCCACATGGAACCACATCAGAAACTGTTATTTCGTGCCATAAAACAATGTGAATCAGTCTGTTATATGTTCACTTGATTAAATGGAATGCATTTTATTGCTGCATTTGCATGCTTTTCTTTGAAATCTAGAGTCAAGCAACTGAATCTCTTTGAGGATTAAGCACATTTTAGTGGTGTCTCTGTATAAATTATTGGCAAATTAGCAGAATGTTATTGTCTCAGCTTTGACAGTGGTTGCTGGGGGGAAATGTGCAAAGAATGTATTCTATCTTGGCTCTGATTATGTTGGTTGATGTTTGTAATATATAATATGATTGATTAAGACTCTAGGTTTGGGGAAAATTAAGTATCTTAGAGCCACAATGAGAAGTTACTGAGTAGCTTCAAGGAGCTGTCATCTTTTTTCAAAGAGAGGATTTGACTATTTACTCTTGAAAAAGACCATCTGGGACTCTTCATTAGTAAAAGGGAAATTTTGCAGGTTTTGGTTTGTCTGTCCTGCCGGAGCCAGGAGTTAGAGCTATATAAACCTATATAAAACTATATAAACCTATAAAACTGAGATACTTAATTATAATCAGACAAGATAGCCAAAATGTTGCCATTTATGAGACAGTGGTTGTTGACTCATCTCCAGCAGTGGCCAACACAAATGCTTCAACATAAGAGTAAAAGGAGCTACAATTGGTGCTGACATGCCAATAGGGATGGCATTTCTTCTCAGGCAAGGAATGATGCTGGTTGGTCTATATTGTGAAGCATGGAGGCCTTAAATAGCTATTCTAGGTAATGTAACAGGGAATGATAACCTCAGGACAAATCTTGGGAAGTTCTGCTTAACTTCGGTGGTCTTCTCTCTTAATCTTTCCCCTTGTATACTTCTTTCACTGAATCCCCTTGTTTTTATTTCTTACAACTTTTGAATGCTTGTAAACTGTGCTCCTTTGGCAAGCATGCAATGAGATGGAACAGAAATAAAAGGAGGTCAGGCTCATCCTAAAATATACAGTGTGTGTCACAACATATGGTGACATCCCCGGTCACCTGGTTGAATGTGCCCACACTGAGTACGTGCAGCAGGAACAAGGGAGACATGAGAATTGAGCTGATCGTAAGCTGCCACTGTGTTTTGGTTAATTCTCTGGGTGTATAGAGTTGGACCTCATTGGGAAGAAAACTCTAAGGCCCTATGTACTGTGAGGCTAGTGCTCTAACAGCACCTGAAAGCCAAAGGGAGGTTGTGTGGATATGTGGTTGCTTGAATAAATGACGTGCCAGAGTGACCTCTGAGATTTTTGGTGTTATATACAACTCATTCCTGTCCTTGCCTTCTTCCATACTTAAAATGGCAACGTACTAGAAAGTCACGCTCTGTAGGGGTAACATGCCCTGTTTTCCAGCTGGTTGTAGGCAGTGGTGAAGTTGTTATCTGGTTCACCGTT